TTATGGGTACCCCATTTGCAAATCAGTTAATTACATTATGATTTTTAAAAGAGAAACATCATCTGCTTGAAAATAGTTGATTATTTCTATGTCAGTATTAAATTATAATTATAAAAATGAATCCACAAGTTGACTTTACCTGTTAGTGATAGGGAAGAATCTACAGTATGTGAAATTAATACGTCTGGCAATTTTCACTTTGAAATTGCCAGTTGCTTCATTGTCATTCTGTACAGGTAGTCCTCAACTTATGACCATTCATTTAAAAACTGAAGTTTGAAGTCATGATGGTGTTGAAAAAAGTAACTTATAACTCACTCTCAAAGTTAGATTGTTGCATCATCCTCTGAAATCATGTGATTGCAATTTAAGCATTTAGCAATTGGCTCGCATTTATGATGGTTGCAGCAACTTATGGTCATATGATCAGAATTTGCAACCTTCCCAGATGACTTCCAACAATCAAAATCAATAGGGGAAGCCAGATTCATTCAGTAAGCACATGATTCACTTAACAACCATGAAATTCACTTGAGCTAAATGAGCAACACATAAATTTAATCAATCAATTCAATCAATCAATATTTCATTTAATGATTGTAGTAAAAATGGCCCTAAAACTGGATCTGATAATTTCATTACTTGCTTAACATTGCTTAATGCTCTAAATTCTGGTTCCAATTGTACTTGGGTGTACCTGTAGCAAATTCATGTTGTTCATATTGCTCAAACACTTAAAGGGGAATATTTGTCTGGTCAATAAATGTTTATAAACCATTTATAGATTTGTCTCAAAGATTTCTTTTCAAGAGGCAACTGGACTTTCTGGTTTTTCTTTGAAGATGTTTTGCTTCTCATCAAGAAGCTTCTTTCAGCTCCAGTCTTCAAAGAAAAAACAGAAAGTCCAGTTGCCTCTTGAAAAAACACCTTTGGGACAATCATGACCTGGATGACTGAGAATCTTCATAGATATTTATAGACTTCTAAACTTATACTAAGGACACATAGCTCTGGCTTTGAATAGCTTGTTATTAATTTCCTTTTACTGGCAATCCTCTTGAAAGTCTTCAGATCTAACTTTATAAGAGAGAAACAAATATCCTCTGCTCACACAAGAACTAGAATTTTATGACTTTATATGAAAAAAAAAAGTGAGCTACGTTTTGATACAAAAAAACATATGAAAAAACCCTGAATCAAAGTATATCCATTTTTAATCTTAATATTTTATGTCCTTTGAGGGAAATCCACCTGGTTTCAATTTCATCCTAATTCAGTTGTCACATTGCAATTTTTGCACTTCATTCAGTGTTTTGGCCCAGAATAATTTGGCTCTCACTGTTGCTCTATCCACTGGCTGAAATACGGATTGAAAATAATCCCTAGCAGTCTTTAGGTCTATATGGAAAATACTGGTGATTTTTATATCAAGACTCTTCAAGGAGCATAGTTATAGCTTGTTCTTTCTGAAAAAAAGAAAAGCTTCTTTCTTTCCCCCTTTTAAAACATTTTATATACAGTTTTAAATGCTGTATCTCATACAAGGTATCAGTTCACTTTTACTGCCGTTTAATGTGTTAGAACAACTGTACTCCATTTCCAGCCTGAAGGAGTAGTAATGTTGACAGTATTTATATATGTAAATGACTGAACAAATACTGGAGTACACCATTCTGATGCCAATTTAAAAATTTCTGGCAAAACTATTTTCTTTTTAGTTTTATAAAACTGGAATTATACTTGGTTAAGCATTTGCTTGAATAATAGACTATTCCAATAAGTTTTTTTCCCTATTAGACTATGTGTTGTTAAATTAAAATTAAATACTGTGAAAATACTTGAAATTCTATTTGGAGTGGCTTATTAAAACTGAATTTATTTACCTCTCAGCATTTCTGCTTATTTTTCATATGAAATCTCAAGACTGTTTCCCCAATATCATGTATGGATTCAAGTTTCCCTTATTTCCCTTATTCATAATTTGGTAGTATTGCCTCCCTTTCATTTCTTTCTTTCCCCCTTTTAATCTACTGAAAGAGGATTCAACTCATGAAAATATTGGTAAAGCTCAGTAGGACTTCCTTCAAGACTGAATATGATCTAAAGTTCCTAGAAATCATTGGAAGTGAGATATTTACTTCAATATAACATTTGTGGTAGGCTAATACTTTATTTCCAAGGCATATAGATTGGAAATAAAACTACGCTTGCTATCGTCTTTGTATATTCATGTTTATTTTAAAATGGCAACTACTTATTATGGGACTTTCATTCCTGGTATTTATTTGGACAAGAACAACTCTATTTTAAATACATTCTTGATGTCTTATTGCAATATCATAGTTGATTTCTCTATAGTTAGATACCAACCACGAGAACCATGTATGGCAGTGCTGATCACCACAGCTATTGATACACATGAAGTCCTTTTCTATGGGTGGCTTTGGGTAGCCACCCCGCACTGCTGCTTATTCCATCCATTTATATTCTCTGACTGGGCCAGATAAAGGAAACAGAAATAGTATATTTCCAGTAGTTTCACTGGGGAACAAAGAACTACAAATTGTTTGTACTAAATTAATAAAGCTCACATTTCAAAAAAGAATTTAAGAGGAAATAGAGTAGCTCTACCAAGTCTGATAATTGGAGTTAATTTGATAGATTCAGCTTGATTAAAGTGTGCAGACATGCAGGATTTTTTCTTCCAACAGGAACTCTGAACAATATCTCTGACCTGCTCTTGAGTTGCCACTTAATGGAAATAGGCTGCACTGGTTTCTGCTGAATGTATCATCACACATATAACATTAAAGTGACTATCAAAGTGATATTACTTGAATTAGAGGGCCAAGAATTAAGGTTTGGGTGGCATGGTTATTTATGGTATGATAAAATTAAAATTAATGATGATTTTAATAATCATTTTGCTAGGCATGCCATATGAAGAGTTTGGAATAAATATAAAACAAGGTTCCCCACTAAGTTGCCTCTTTAGGTGCCCCCTCCCCCGCCAGGAAGCTTTTTAAAGAAAAGAAGCCAGACTGGTGGACTTATGGTAAAATATTATCTTTCAGCTCTGGTAACCCTACATTAAAGCTGAGGGAAGAACTTGAATCAGAAGGTTATGTTTGCAATTGATTTACATATCAACAATTAAAAGAATGATTTAAATCAGATAAAAAGATTTATGGATTTGATTTTGCTAAAAATGAATTGGAAATCTTACTGTGTGGTAGTGATGAGCATATTATTGCTAAAATTTATAAAATGTTATTGAAAATTGAATTTGGAAAGTGAACATGTAAAACATTGTACGATTCAGTGGACAGGGAATTTTGGATACAATGTGATGCTTGAACAATGGGAAAATGTGTGGGTGAAAGATTTAAAATTTACACTAAATTATAATTTAAAAGAACATCTTTATAAGATATTGTATTGCTGGTATTTAACATTGGATAAGTTATCTAGAATGTATAAAGATATTTCAAATGAATGATGGAAGTGTAAAAGCAAAGAAGGAGCATTTATATCATTTATGATGGACATGTGATAAAGCAAAGTAGTTTTGGAGTAATTTTTTAATGCAGAAAATTCTTAAAATGAACATAAAAATGAAACCAGAAAATTTTCCTTTGGTTTTAATGGAAAAAGACTTGGAGAAAAAAAAAATTGATCTTATATATGTTGATAGCAGCAAGACTATTGTGTGTACAAAAATGGAAGAACACGTCAATTCCCACTATGGACAAATGGCTACAGAAGTTGATGGAGTTGGCAGACATGGCTAAATCGACTATTTTGATTAAAGGAAAGAATACCTTTGTTTCCACATGGAGACCACTTTTGAACTTTGTGCTTGAAGTGGAAAAAAATGAAATTTGATTTTGGCTTTTACTGATTAGATTGATATGTTTTTGTAGAAATGGCTAGTTTATATTGTTATGGTAAAACAAAAAGTTGTGGTTTGATGTTAATACTTTATTTTACTGCAAAATAAGGGGAGTCGGAAGTTAATGTTTCTTTTCTTTTTCCTAGTCCTTCTTCACCTTTCTCTCACCCTTCCCCTCTTGTGTCTTCCTATTTATTTGTATATTTTGTATTTTATCTTATAACCTAATAAAAAAATGTTTAAACTAAAAGTGACTATTGAAGTTTGAATCTGAAAGAGGGAAAATGAAATAAAATGAAGTGAGCATCTGTAGATAAGCCGGTAATCACTTAATGTGACAAAGGACTTCTACTGGTTTTTCCCCCCCATATCCTTTCTATTTTTGTTTCATTTTCCAGGATTCTCCTCTTTCTTGGTAGATTAACTCTATATTTTCTAATCACTCAAATATCCCTGTGCAAGATTATTATAGAAACATTCTATGTCCCATTTTGAATTTAGCATTTACTGAGTACCAAAAGTTTATAGATGATAATAATGAAATAAATATATTGGGATAATTGTTTCTACTGCTATTCAGTGATAGACATTGCAAGTCAGATTATATACAAGGTCTCTATCATTCCAGAGGAAAATATCTTCTCATGACATTTCTAAGGTATGGTAAGATATGGATTTTCTTTGAAAAATCAGAAGAAAGCTACCATCACATTTTCTTAATAGGGTCTTATTTACAGAAATTCCAAGCAAAACTCCTTCCAGAGCTAGCACAGACAACATGGGGGCCATGGTCCAGAAAGTAGTGAATGAACTAGGAAACTCTACCTTTACATATTAAAATTTAATACAGATTTATTGACTGAAATAAAAATGTAATGCAGTACATATTACTATTTGATTATAACAAAATCTTTTTGTCAATTAATATTTATGATGTGAACATAATTTTTCCAGGTGCCTGGGGGATGCATGAAGGACTTTCAGGGGTCAGCTGCAATCCTGGGAGTTAAGCAATTCATCACTGATCTATGGGCTGGCAAAACAATTAAGAGAGAGGGTAGTAGAAGTGGTCTTTCGGACAATCTAATAATTTTCTTATTTGACATAGGTCTGGTTCCAAAACCGAAGAGCAAAATGGAGAAAGAGAGAACGTTACGGGCAAATCCAACAAGCAAAAAGTCATTTTGCTGCCACATATGATATATCTGTTTTACCACGGACTGATAGCTATCCCCAGGTATTAAATATTGAATATTTATTGTTTCTTTTCTTTTCTCTGGAAAATAAAAGCATATAATTCATCTCTCTCTCTCTCTCTCTCTCTCCCTCCCTCCCTCCCTCTCCCTCTCCCTCTCCCTCTCCCTCTCCCTCTCCCTCCCCCCTTTTCTCTCTCTCACACACGGCATAATTACAGTGTAATTGCTATACAATAAATTCATTTCCCCCCTACATTATTTCCATCTAAATTGGAGATTTTGTGTGCCACATAGAATAGTTTTCTGGAACTATTTCATTCTGAGTGAAGAATCAGAACTCTCAGTACAAGAAAACCTCTTCTGCCTCTTCTGTCCCCTCTGACTCCCTCTGGAACTCAGATGCAGGTAACAGAGTTAACCAGGGAATCCTTACTCAGGAAAAGATGGCAGTTCCTTCAGTTGTGAGATGTTTCAGCACCAGGATGTCTGCTTCCTGCTTTAAAGTGGTTTAGCTCTGATGCATGGAAGACATTTTAAGTAGAAGTCAAGATGAAACCCATAAGCTCATAAAACCAAAAAAAGTTTTGACCAAATTACTATAGATTTTGCTCTTTCAATAAGTTAGTTATTAAAAGGAATCTGCCCTTGTGCAGCATGATAGGACAATGCTTGGGGACTTTTTTGGCAATCTATAACCTGCTTGAAAAAGAATTTTATAAAAAAGAGTAACGCAGCCAACCATCTGTTTTCTTTTTATTCCATTCTGTGAATTGTTAATTGTATAATTTAATTTTCCTTCAGACACATTTTGGAGATTTTTTTCTCCCCTTTGCCTTCCATAAATGTCAGGAAGCATTGTAATTAGAACAACTGAAGTATTTACAGAGATAAATAATTAGCTGTTGGAATATTGCATGAAAAGAGAGTCAAAGAAAACTTCTTTCAACTCTTTCCAAAGTCCCAAAGCTGGCTTCCTAGCAAAATGTCAGGCATTAACCTTTTGTCTGGAAATTCTACTTCTTTTTTCAGTTTTGATAATCTGGTGGAGTCTTGCAGATGATTTAGAATCATCTCACATATTTTAAAACCAGCTGTAATTATGCTAATACAACAGCTTTTCTTTGTCAATATTGTGTCCTAATAAAATTAACATAGCTGCTTTAGTATCTCCATTTCTCTGAAAGTAGGAAAAACATGGGATGAACTTCCATGTAAAACTATTTAGAATGGAGATTCCAATGTAAAAAAGTAAAACAATTGCCCATATTGTTTTTATCATATCAAAGATTGACTTCTTGACTAGGTATGGTTAGAGATAGAATTGATTGATTTTGTAATATCTTATGTCTGTTTGCTGTAATCTTCCTCACAATGGTGCCTACCAATTCTCTGGAGTGTATCGTCTCTCATCGTTGGTTATGGTGATTGGAGCATATGAAAGTTATAGCATGAAACCAGTGCTTGTATATTCTGAATTAGAAAGGAGAATTAGAAAATCTGAGTGACTATACAGATAGTTCATACATGTGTAACTCTTTCCTTCCTGTGATTTCAATAAATATATAGAGTAAAATTTCCTATAGTTACATAGAGTAAAGACTATGAGTCATGAGCCACTTTCAGTATTTTATTTATTTAGGCTAATAATCTACTTTATTCATAAATGACTCTTAAACTGTGTACATTCCAATGGAGTAGAAATGTTAAAGCAATAAATAATACAGTACAAAAACAAACAGCTAACAATAATGTTCACTTCCATCATATTATGTAATATTCTTGCCAATATTACAATTATAAAGGAGCACCTGCAATTTGAATGAGAAAAGAAAGTCAAGACGGTACTTTGTGATTGACATACATTTAAAAGGAGAGGGCTTTAATTGTGGACCCCCACAAATGTCCCTGCAATCATTTAAGATGGAGGGGGAATCTCTAAAGGCTTTCTGAAATAGCCTAGTCAGTGGAACTTTGCAGTGGAACCTACTGGATAAATTCTTCAGAAGAGGCGTTATTGGTGTCCTCTGGATGTTAGGTGAAGTTACTTGTTTTTTTCTTTAGTTGAAATGTGTTTGAATATTAGTAGCTCAGGCTGGTAGTTGGGCTGTTGGTTTGATCTCCGAGCTTGGCAATTTGGTTGCAAATGTTTTGTCACCATTTGAGAAGACATCGTCAATGTGTTTTGAGTTGTTTTGGTTTTTCTTTCATTTCATCACACCCAAGTTTTGGTTTATTATTACGAATAAATAAAAAAACAGCAACTTAAAAATAATTGATGCCAGTTGGCCAAATTATTTTTAAAAATAGCTTAGATTCCCTTGCTGCTTCAGTTACTAAATTTGTGTTTTAAACTCTGATTCTTGGTTTCTATAAAATTGCAGGCCAGAAATCAAGGAAAGTGAAACTAAATATAAAAATAATGAGCAGGGTTGTTGTTCAGAAAACAGATATAATGGTGATGGATGTGGGGGTAATTGGGATGATACAAGAATCTCTCCCTGGTAATGGTGACAGACAAACAATAGAATATAGCAAGGCACACAATTCCAAATTATCAGGTTCCTGCTCTGAAAGAGATGCTGTTTTTTTAACATTTTGCAAAAACTAGGGGTAAAGATGGGTTTATTTACATTGAGGAAAAAATCTTTCACTTTATGAAAAACAATGCATGTCCTCTCTCTTTTTGTACTTGTCGAGGGATCTTCACAAAGTGCAAATTTGAGAGTCTGAATTTTTTTTAAAACTCTAAAAGAGGAATAGATTGACAGGGGGGATTGCTTAACTTTTAACTCTTAAAAGCTGAGAATGCAAGTAAAGGCATGGAGATATAATATATTCAGAAGACTTTTTAAAAACCCTCTTCTCATATGCAGTGGTCCTCCAAAGCAGAGACTTAAATAGCTACTGTTTCTGAAAAAGAAAATGGCTAGAGTCCTCTTTTCTTTAAAAAAACCCAAACCTGCATACCATACAGGTTAGCTATGTGTGGTATGGAATAAAAGATTCAGTATGGACAATAAGAACACATCTGTGATTCTACAAACCAGCACTTCAATATCATGTATTCTAGGGTGCCATGGCCTGATGGTTTACTCTCTTGACTCTTGAAATGGTTCAATATATGATTCTAGGAGAGGCCCATTTCTTAGACTTCTTTACATGGCAAGAGAGAGGTAGGGAAGACAGAATGAATGTACTGTGACATATAGTAATTATTTTAAGAAAACAAAGTGACCATGACCATGGCATTCATTAGGTCAACTACTATCTTTCAGTGCAATCTAACTTACATGTAGGGAAAAGCCAAAATCATACTCATAATGTGAATAAAGAAAAAGAGGACTGCCTCCTGTTCTTTATCCAAAGATTGCTTTTGTTTGTGCAGTAGAGTTGCCTTGCCTGTCTTTTAGATGTGTTGTTAATGCATCTCCCAGAAATTCAAGTCACCATGATTGGAAGTCATACTTCCAATCAGGGAAGTATGTGGTAGAGTAACTTTTTACTATAGCCTTTCTCTCATGTTTTGATCCTCTCACCTAATGTGAAGGAAACCAGGAGGCCATCTCTTCACACCCCTTGGAATTATTAATAACTTTAGCACTATTGTTATAGAAGACATGGATTTCAGTGTTTTCAGTGTGTATGCAGATGTGATACTTAGTCTTCATGTATAGCATGAGGGACTTATTTGACTGGTTGAAGTTAACTTAACTCCAAACAGGACTGAATCTTTGAGGGCTAACTAACTTTTGGATTAATTGTCTGGATAGATTGGCCTTTTTCGATATTCCCTGAAAATGCTAGTCCTCATTGGCCTAATTAAATTTGTTGTGGAAACTGCATTGAGCTTTACACAACTGCCTGTGCTGATATTGCTCATTTGATGGAATTATTTGATTAACATATAGCTTTAAATGTTATCATTCTGAGGTTTTGGCTTAAGATCCAAGTTATGATATTTTAAGCCTGATACCCTTCTAACTTTTTTCATTATCAGTATAAAATGGGAATCAGTTTGACTCTAAGCAACATATATTGACATCCGGTGATATATTTTTGAGATTCATTTTCAAGGTTAGGTTGTTTATAATTATTTTACAATTTTTATAATTTAGCCAATGGACTTCAAACATGAAATTATAAAATTGCCAAAAAATGAAGAGAATTTATTAGTTCAGTGTACAGTTGACAAGTAACTATCAGAACATTATATTAGATTGGGATGGTATTTGGACCATCCCAATCTAATGTAATGTTGGGCAACACAATATTGCATATAGCTTTTTATTTTCTATTAAGACTCAAGACAGTTATGGTTCTTTTGATTTAGATTTTGATATCAACTGGAATGATATACTTTTTCTTTCCTCTGCCATTTAATTTGAAGTTCTTGGAATATGTCTAGAATCTCATAGTTTGTAGGGCATCTATTACTTGTAGTTATATTTCCTTTTACTTGTTCTTCAAACTTAGATTGCTGCATACTGGTTCGGTGAGAAAATTAAATATTCCAGAAATCACTTGGAAGGCAGGGCTTGGTATTTTTATCTAGCAAATAATGGGGTTGCTCTCTTAAAGGTTCTTTTTCAGAAGGCAACTGGACTGTAGAAGAAGTAAAAATTTCGCTTCTCATCCAAGAAATTTCATCAGCTGAGCTTCTTGGATAAGAAGCAAAACATTTGCTTATTCTTCCTCAAGGAAAAAAAATAATAAGCCCAGTCCTGTTGCCTTTTAAAAAAGCACCTTTGAGACAACTATGAGCTGGATGACTGAGAATCTCCATAGAAAATGGGCCTGCTGATTAATTAAAGAATATTTGAAACTGATTAATAATCTGCATTTGCAATGGTTTCAACCAACTACATTTAAATACAAATGTGAATGTATATTTATTGGTATCTCTTTAAGATTGTAAAGGACATAGTCTTTACTTTGATTTTTTTTAGCAGGGTAACATACTAGAGTTAAAATAACTTCAAATTATATATCTTCTGCCAGGTCCCATAGATTAAAGTTATCTTTACCTATTAATTTGCTAAAATTGTAGTTGATGCACAGATGTGTTAAACTGTTAAAATCTTACAGACCCTATGTAACATGGTCAGACATAAACACATGCACAAATACACTAAAGGATACTTTGGTGATTGCATGTTAACCACAAGAGAATAACTTAAAATGTTTGTGATGTAACAGAAACCAGAGGTGAGATCTATGTGTAGGCTTATTCAGAAACTCCCTGAATTACCTTTTATATACTGCACAGATCACAGAAAATTTAAACAAGAATAATTATATTTACATTCAAGCACTGTTTTCTGTCCTTCCCATGTACCAGAGTTTTCTACTTATTGTAAAGTATCTTTTATTTATTTTGAATTCCAATATAAATTTTAGGTTTAGGATTTTGTTTTATGATACTTACACTATATAACTTGCTAGCCAATGAGTCTTTGGCACATATTCTTTTACTTAAAGAAGTGGAACAAATAAAACTCACAGTACCAAACTTTTAAGGTTCAGCTAGATTCACGAGCCAAGCAGTAAGTGTTGTGTTGTGCTCGTATTATCCAATTTATATTCTCTCCACTAAGAAAACTTTTTACTGTTGCTTGCCAGCTTTATAAATTCTCAAAACATTTGTCTGACATAAAGTTTGTGATTAAATTTTCAAGTTTCACAGCAAATTAAAATGATGTGTATAATCACTTTGCAATAAAACATGAAAAACATTTGCCACTTGCTCTTAAACCATGTGTTGCTAGAGGGATTACAGGCTTTGTATCCATAACCTTTAAACAAGAAGATAAAAACCATGACAAATTAATATAATGTAAAGAGGAATAAAAAAAAAAGAAATAAAAGAAAAAGCAAAAAGTGCCAAAGAAGGAAAAAGTTGAAAAAAATAGAAAAGAAATAAGAAAAGATATAAAGCAGTAGCAACCAATATTCTTCACGGTAGCTATAAATACAAATATATTTTAGCATCTCTCTCTAAAGTTACATCATATTACTCTACTTTCTACAGTCCTATGTAATCATCAAAACCATAAATCACAAGTTCACATTTTTCATTTTTATGCAAAAAGTCCATAAGAGCCAGTCATCAATAAATACAGCATCTTTTCTCTAATCAAAGGAATTCAGCAAAATCTATCAGTTTCGCCAACTATTCCTCCATAATGGGCAGTATCAAATCTTTCTATATCTTGCAATAGTGATCATATATTGAAATAATCTTCCATGGCTTTTTTCTAATTGTTTTTAAAAGGGTTGAAATTTACAGTGTATTATAATCTCAAAGACAATTTTTATATTAAAAAAGTATTGCTGGTACGTGACACCAGAAGAATTATGTAAAATTCACTTTAAATGTATGTTGGAAATGTGAATAACATGAAGAGACATTTTATCATACTTGATAAACATATAAAAGGTTAAAAATGGATTCAAATACATATTTTAATACAGAGTATTTCAATGATTAATAAAGAGTTAATATTAAATTGAAACGAGAACGTTTTCTTTTGGTGTTAATGGATAAGCAGTTAACAGAAGTAATGAAAGATTATACTATTCACTGTGGAGGAATGGTTGGTGAAGTTGACAAATTTTGTTGAAATGGATAAATTGATTTATTTGATTTGAATAAGACTTGGGCTTGTTTTTGTCACGTAAATCAGCCATGAATTCAGTTTTTGTCCATTTGCCATATGTTTTTAACATCTTTTTAATGTTCTTTGAGAGATACCCACCTTGATAAAACGTTAGATCAAATGGCAAATGGTAATGCCAAAATCCATTAGATGTTAAGAAAGTTTGAATGGACCCTAAGCTAAAATTTGTTACCTATGCTAAAGCAAAAAGGAACGTAGTTATTTAGAGTTTGTTAGCCACTTGCATGAAAATTGGTTTGCATGGTTTAGTTAGAACTGGGTGTTGCAAGCAAGATTCTTGCATTTTTTTCTGTGCCAGTTTTTTTGAAAAGGCTAACCCAATTTTGATTGTTTATATACAATATACTGACATTAATAATGAAATAATTATTTGTTTAGTGAGTCTAAGGTAATTATTGACATAATGTGGATTGTTATATATTTATTTTGAACAATTTTAATTGAAATTGTTGAATCATGGCCAAATGTATCTTTTTCCCCCTCAAAAGGATGGTTAGACTTTTCTGGAAGTTTTGAGCTACTTGGAACCATAACTTTATGAATTTCATTATTGTAAATATTATCAATGTCCTAAAATATATTAACAGCAGAAGTGTTTGTGGTTCTGCTTTGATTTAAATATGTCCAGGAAATAAACATCACAATTGGCAGTATTTGACCTTTGGGGATGTGTGGACAGATACGGATGGGTCTGGGATGGGAATGCTTGTTTGTGTGACATCCATGTGGCAAGTGGGGCATCATAGCTTCAGCCACATTAATATAATCCTAAATGTGGCCCAACCATGGGTTAATAAGTTGTTTTCATGAGATGATATGGTGACCGCTTAGCAACCATAAAAGTGGTCCTTGCTAGACATAAGGAATGCCAGTGTGACTTCTCTGACATTCCAGAAGTGCTCCATTGGATGTTGGAACATCTGTACAAGAGGATTTTTGAGGAATGGAATATATGGAAAGAGGGAAGGATGCTAAGAATCATGTGAGTAAGGAGCACTTTGTATTCTCATTCTTGCCATTAAAATGATGCTGTGAATCAATCAGAAAAGAGAACAGAAATATACCTCAGACATCAGCAAATGTACAACCACATGTATATGTACAATCATTTCTGTAGCCCTTGCTGGGATTTTCTATTTATTCCTACAGCTCCTGTACATATAGAGTTTTATATGTGCAGAAGACATTGTCAAACAGTATGCAATCCTATTTCCAGTTTATTCATTTAGTCACCTGATAATTTGATAGGGAAGATTAGAATAATATAAATGGACTTTTCTTCAGTTACTTTGGCTCCAGCTTGCAATTGTTTGAAAATATCTCCATAAAGAAAGGTTTCAAGGCACAGCACTCTTTCCCCACCACAGCTGAAATGAATCTGTCCTTTTGTTGTCAGACAATAGTAGTTGATATTTTGATTCTTTCTTTGATCCAGATCCAAGATCAGAGGACAGAGTTAAACTCTCCCTACATATTGATCTTTAGCTTGCTTCCATTTCTGCAGTGATTTTCAGAGTAGTTGTACATGTTTGCTGCTATATAGAAAGCTAATTTCAGACAAAGGAATGAATCTACAGCTGTGCACAAATGTCTCCTACAAATATTTCATGCTTTCCATGGGCAGAAGAATTAAGTGATCATTGACTGTATTTTTCCAGGGGCAGAAGAAATTTTCCACAAGTTTTTTTGAGAGTGATATTTATCCAAAGGCACTACCAACAGTAACTGTTGGCTTTCAGACCATTATGTAGATCCAGATCTGTTTGGAGTATGTGACGGTCATTCTTTATAGTTTAGGGGGGAAAACCCTCCCAAATTTCTGCCATCTTCCTGTGGCTAATGAAAAATTTCAAAAGGCATTACTGAGCTGTCCTATCAGTTAGAAATAAATATATCAATAGTTGTGAACAGTTACCAAAATAAATGAAAGATTCTAAATATACTAGATACAACTTTACTTTGAAGATTGAAATGAAATGCAGAGGTATCCTTCTTTTTCATTAAATATATGTTTCATTAATATACAAGTCAGATTTATAAACAGAGTAACCAAGAAAATATTTCATTATATGCATGCATTGCTGCAGGATGTTGGCATCAGTCTTTTTGCAAAAATATAGGACAAAGTTGTTCATGACATTGACTGAGAGTTTCTGTTAAAACTCTACCTCAATCAATTGTGAAGGGATTATAAGCAAGATATCAATTTCCTCAGAATACTCAGGCCCTGATTTTAGGGGCAATGAAACAAGTGCTTCTACATTCCATGAATGGCTACCAAGTATTTCATCAAATTTCATCAGATTTAATGAAAAATGAAACTAGAGAAAGAAAAATATGTTTGAAATATACATTTAATCTTGTCTTGTTTATATGTTCCAGATTCAGAATAATTTGTGGGCAGGAAATGCAGCTAGCAGTCCGGTGACTTCCTGCATGCTTCCACGGGATACTTCCTCTTGTATGACCCCTTATTCCCATTCTCCTCGGACAGATTCTGGGTACTCTGGCTTTTCAAATCATCAGAGCCAGTTCAGTCATGTTCCCCTTAATAACTTCTTTACTGACTCTTTACTTTCTGGAACTAATGGACATGCGTTTGAAACCAAGCCAGAATTTGAACGGAGGTCTTCCAGTATTGCAGTTTTACGAATGAAAGCCAAAGAACATACTGCTAATATTTCCTGGGCTATGTAATATAACAGAATAACTTTCAATTTCAAGGTCAGATATAAAAAAGCTCTTCTCCTCCACCACCAATCTTGTTTCTATAATTAAAGGACTCAACAATAAGCTGCTGTGTGAAGAATTGCTAGTGATCAGGATGTACAAAGAAGCCTGCTTGAATAAATACCCAATGTGCTATTTAGCATTTAAGTGTCAATGTATATGAGGACTAAATGGAACCACCACAGGCCAATCTCCAAAAGCCCTCTTAAAATTACCAAATAAGTTTTGTTGTACCAGTTGATGAAATATAATTGTAAAATCTGCAAAAATAATAATAAACCTATTAAACAAGTATGTGTGCTATATATTGTTTGATGTCAGTGCAATGTCAAAGTAGATGGCTTACTCATAAGCAGTGCTGACAGAGAAAATTGCATTTGTTACAACAAATGTTTAGAAAGATTTCCTTTCTAAAGGAAACCTTTCAATAAGTGGTATGTTGAATGAAATGTTTTCCTCCTTCTGTTTAACAAACAAAAGTTGTGCATTTATTTAGTTGATAATGCATCCTTCTGAAAAACTATTTCCATCATATTTATGATGATGTAAAACTATTTTACATCATATTTATGAGCATGATGACTTTTTCTGGAACTTTAGAAGCTGTCTACCATATAATGTATACAATTTCAGGATTGTTGGGATATAGTACAAAAGTACCACTAGGACAATTTCTTACTGTTTCTTCAAATTTGCTATCTTGCTCTTTCAGGTGAGCTAATTTTCTGCATACCTGAACAGCTACAACTTATAATGTTTGCTACAAAAAGTCTACATTTGTTGCATGACATTAAGAATGTTTGTGTACTACAACAGGTAAATAAACATAGATCTGCATGAAATGCTTCACATAAAACATATCTACATACTGTGTAAAGGAAGCATATCAAACTACATGTGTAGGTATAATTTTGCACATGAACATAAAATATGCAGCAAAATGTTTCATTGAGAGGAATCTTGTATTGGGCTGCCTTACCAGGTGGCCTTGCTTTCTTTTAGGATATCCAGATTGCTTCCTTTATCTAACACCAAGGGCCCAGAGTGACACAAACTATATCTGGCAAACTGCATTTTATATGGCTTGTCTTCATGATGCTGCTTTTGTTTCATCTCCGCTAAACAGATCCAATTTTTGCTTATTTGGAGGCCTTGATATGACCTACAATCAATCTCCTTGATTTTGATGATGACCCGCTTAAGTGCCAGAATCTGTCTAGCTTCTATTGCAGGCAGCCCTCCATGACCAGTTGGTCTGGGTTAAGAATAGATGGGAAATTGGCTTCCAAAGAGGCAGCTATACAGATGATGCCTGATTAGGGCTTTCCAAAGTCCTTTCCAAATCAGGAGCATTAGGCACATACATTTAATGACCTTTTGAAAGAATATTACCTCAGTCTGTTTGTTTGCTTTCAAAAATATGGTTTCAGTGGACATTTGAAAGAACCGTAGACCTGGGCTTAAAAAGCAGGACTGTCTCACTTGACAGAATGCTAGTCCTGTGCTTCACAAAAAGCTGATTTATAACCTAGAAAGAAGGCTGGTTCTATCAGGAGGGTGTTACTGGTTCTGTCACCATTGATTGGTTTACATGTTTTTGAGCACTTCTGCCAGAAAAGGGAAATATGATATTATTATTATTATTATTATTATTATTATTATTATTATTATTATTATTATTATTATTATTATTATTATTATTATTATTATTATCATCTTCATCGTTATCATTATTATTCAGGGAAGGGATGTTCACCATTTTATGTCAGCTTGCTATTCAGGGGCTTCTTTCAGAAGCTTTTGAGCATGGGGACTTGCTATCATTCTCTTGCTGTGGTAGATGCGAATAAAGCACATTCATCAGTTACGGCCTCCTGCTTCACTCTGCTCTGCTCCTCCATCTGAGGCCTGTCAGCCAGGCTATTTTTAGACACAGGTTTAGAGCTCTTTCAAAGGAATTTCCGAGCCTGTATTTTTTTAAAAAAACAACAACGGGCTAGTGCTGAGACATTGACCAGTTGACAGGTCACAGGCATAGAATACCTCTGATCTTTGTTTCTGGGCAAATTGGCATGGTGCTGAATGCACCACTCCAAGTCTTTATCTCTACTTGTCCCAGTTAAGTTAGGAAAAGCAAGTGGCTGTGGTTTCCTGCTGGCATATAATGCCTAGTAGGAGAGAAACGAGATCAAAGGAATGCATCAGTTGCTTCACTTACCTGGTCCACATTCAAATTTTAAGGTCAGTACCTGTAGCTGCTGTTGATGCTGGGTACATCTCAGGCAAATGTTATGCTAGCGTACTTTTCTGCCTCCTCAGGAATAATGGATAGCATTTTAACAGCCTGTTTCAGCCTTCACACTTAACTCATTTGGCTGTTGAATTTCCCCTGCAGTCCTCCCAATAAATTTTATTTTTGAATATATATTTTAGATTGTGAATAGAAGACTCTACTTCAGCTACAAAAAATATACCCAGACAAAGTTATGATTAACATAGTGAAAAAAAGATATAGCTCCATTGAGAAAGCATCTCAGTAATGACAAAAGGGTGACATCCACAGGAAAAAAGAAAGTATTAGAGGCATGACAAATAGGTGTAGAAGCAATATTATATATTTACTGGCTTTGCTATTTAAGTGTGAAGACTAGACTGAGCAAAGAAAGAAAGAAAGAAAAATAGATATTTTTTAATACTGGAATTGCATTCTTCCCTGTTGGTCCAAGTTACTGATCAAACTTATTAAATATTATTACTGATATGTTCATCTTGAGCATCTTGTGAGAAATGAAGATTTAGGAAGTGATAGTATCTATGGCAAACATTCTTAATATGCCTTTTAATGAATCTTTACTTCAACACATAAAGATACAATGGATTTTTTTAAAAAGATAATTTTTTCTGCTAATTTTAATGATTATAGGAAGATGAAAATTGCTATTTTCTATTGCTATTTAATGACAATCAGAAGAGATTGATAGTCTAAAAAGATCTGTACATTCATAAGATGTGTAAAGCACTATAATAATTGAGTTTTATGTTTCAATACAATATTTAATAGCAATCAAAATCAGATATTTTTATTATAACAATCCATTCACTTGTAATATGTTAATAACAGCTGAAAAGTACATTTTGAAGTAAACTTATAATTTATTTTGGTAGTATGAAAATGCAAAGTCCAAATGGAGAAGCACCCTAAGGGGTTTTGAAAAATTTTCTGTTAATAATATAGACATATTTTTCTGATTTTTGTATAGGAAGAATAAATTTTCTAATTATTTCTCAATGAAAGGATACCTCTGTTAAAACCACAATTGCATCAATATATAAAAGGGAGAAAAAAGGAGTTAGACATTACTTATTTGCATTATATGGATGATTATGACATATTCATATATATTCCTTGGCTACCATTTGTAAATATTACAGACTATCACAGATATTTTTTTGAAATTCTTATTTTATTTTAAAATGAATGACAAATAGTAAGAAAATAAACATACAAGACACTATGTGTAAATCTGACACTTTTTGACACTGTGTAAATCTGACAAACATATTTACAAATATGCTGGTGAAGGATTTATCTTTAAGCAACATGGGTTGGTCTTAAGTACAATATCCGTTAATAGCTATTCTGCAATTATGGAAAATGTTTTTTTAAAAGAAAATTTAAAAAAAGATTTCCTATACCTTTTTTCCATGGGATGTTAAAAACAATAAATGAGCTGGTTCTCTTAAAATTTTAATATACTTTCAAAAAAAATTCTATGGATATTTATTTTGTTGTCAAAATTGTATCTGTTCTGTTATTGGGGTAATATTAGATATTAGGAGAAAGACAAAAATGAAATGATTAAATGATTCATGAATTTCTGTTCAACCTTTCCTACTTTTGCCAACTATTACTCATTTCCCACTCTTTCCTCTCCTTTATACATTTATAACACTTCTAATTCAGTTCTGGTGGTTCCCTCATTTTTAAAACTTCTGGATTTTATACTGCACATAAAACACTATGAATACTATCAGTATCTGTAGAAATTGGTTTTTTCCCATCCACAATACATGTCCATAGTAACTGAATAAAAATTTGATTCTTCCCAATTCACATTTTAACGGGACCTTTCAATCTCCTGCACTGATTCTAAATTCAAGGTAGTCTTTTTATGTACGCTTCTCCTCAGAAAGACATTTGCAGGTCACAACCCATGAAAGACAGTGCAGGGCAGAGGAAATTCATACACTCTTCTATTCCATGCAGCCTCCTATACCATGTCCAGACTGTTGTTTGTATGTGTGTCTATGGGGGGGGTAGGGGGGGGGTAGGTGAATCTCTGTGACTAAAATTCTGCTCAAAGGCTCTCTCAGTCCAGTTCATCATTCACTATTTACTAACCATTTGACTATATATTTCATGCTTGGGAGCCCTTCTTCAATACTAGAGGCATCTTGATGAAGTGACTCAAAACTCTCAGGAATCCCTTTTTCTTCTGCAAGGTAAGAAATTGCAGGCAATGTTGCTAATTCCAGACTTTTACTAAGCTGAAACATGAATTTGTAAAGTTGGAAGAAGATCTATAATAGTTCAAACTTGAGTTGAACTTTCAAACTGACTGCAGTCCATCTTAGTCAAGGTTTGTCTGTGTGGTATGTTGAATTGCGCATGATTCAAGGCAAAACTCCCTCTGACTGTTCATCAGGAGCGAGACAAAACTGCTGCTCCTTTACAGGATGTCAGTGCCTCTGTTATATGAAGGAATTAAATTGTCAGCAAACATTCTGAAATTTCTGGTAGGAGAGAAAAAAGAAACAAGGCATGTGTGTGTTGGGATGAAGGGAGGGAAGATGGAAGAGGGAGGGGGCATTGAAGAAAAATACTTTACATCTGGTGAATTGCTATCTGCTTTGATTTACTTCTCCTCCCTTTCCCCTGTCACATTCCGGACTCCTTCAGATGAACG